TTCAGTAATAATATGCCCAGCTTCAAAAGTCGTGTGGTTAGAATCCAGTGCCACTACAGATCCACAGGAGAAACGTTGGCAAAAAACATCATGAAAAATAACAAAATTCTTAAATTTTCTCAGAATCGAATCATAAAATAAACATACTGTTAAAATGGGACATGTAGTGGCAAAGCTAAAACTTTTGCAACTATTTTTCAGTTTATTATCATTTATATTTTTATGGTACGGTTAGTAGATAGCTGTACAACTGTATTTCGATATTCTTCCCATTGTAAGTTTCAAGTTAACCTACTAGCTATTGTTATCCGTTTTTTATCTATCAATTATTAGAAAACTATTATGTACTGCTTGCTTCATTATTTACCACTTATGGTATGATTTCTTATTTCATGTGCTCCCGAGGTATAAAAATTCGTGTATATAAGCTAATGAGTGTTTGAGATATGTACTGTGTTGGGCTTGGTGAATGAAGTATGATAATCATAGAGACTTATATAGTCTTAACTTCGGACTCGACCCTGGGAACTGAGAAGGACTTGAGGATAGGCTTTGTGCAGTACTCATAGTGGCTGTGACATCATTGTATGTCAAAGCTTCTTCACCCAAAATTTTACGATTTTAAGATTCTTCCAGCTGCATCTAATTTTGGTTTTAGTTCTTTTTCAACTTCTCGCCTTTTTATACTGTCCACATGCGGTACCTCTTTACGGAAATAAACTACTAACCCCTTTAGTTTGTGATCATTCTGTAATATTAAGCCCCGTTCATTGGGAGATTTTAATACTACATTTGACAGCCTGGTTTGATTTTGTTTTAAGTTCATTTGGCTACCTAGTCGATAAACCTTTAGCAAGGTGACTCTGGAGATATCCTTAGGAATTATCTGGTTTAGTAGCACTTTTATTAACCATGTAGTGCGGTGTCGAGTCGAGGACGGACTATGATCACGATTACGCGCCCAAAAACGTCTTGGTTCCTTTGATAACTCGTAAATCAGAAGGCTTTATTAATCCAGATCAAGTATATTTATTGGCGATCTCGTGGTATCGAAATAATACCGAGACGTGCCAAAGGGTACAGGCGAAATGGGCAGTGCGTGAGCAAGTTCGAACCAAACAAGGCGGATAGCGAAACAAGAAGTAGTGAAACTGATACAGTTAAACAAATACAGCAAAACAATCTCTGGTACAAATGGTTACAACAATAATAATTGTTTCTGTTATTCCAATCGTGTTCTTATCGAGACTGGCCGGTCACTACAACCCCATAGCATTCTTAAAACGAGTTCTGTGTTCTGAGCTTTCATTCTTCCTGACTCTACAAAAGACAACTGACCTGTCACTTTGATCATTTTTTAATCTTACAGCCACTGTTGGGGGACTGACTTCACTTTAGCAACATTAAGTCGCTTCTTATTCTTCATTTGTTTCCATCCATCAACTTTGAATGGAAAAGCAATTAAAGCGCGTTACACATACTGTGGGAACTTGGATGATTGTCAATGAAATGATTAGTCAGTCTATTGTTCTCCCTGCTAGAAACAGACCTAATGGTGCAATCAGGTTTTCCATGGGTCTCCTGCTCGCTGCCATTTGGAGGCGGAGACAGAAGAAACTTCCATTTCGGAATCACTGTTTCTAACAGATCCCATTATAAATAATCTATAGGACTTAAATTCTCCGACAGATATGCTATTAGAACTGTGAACGCGATACTGGAGACCCCAGAATCTATGTGAAAGCTATAGTCAGAACCAGAACAACTTGGCCTTAAACTTTATCTGTTTCTACACATAAAATAACAATTTGGTTGGTACAATGATTAAAGGAATTACAGTCATTAAGTGGAACGCACAAACATACCGACCAGTATTGCGTGTCTCATCGAAATGAATAAAAATTATGAGTCACACTAATATAATAAGATAATAATGTCCTTCAATTGGCAGGTTATATGCAACAGGGATAGTCTACAGACACATCAGACCAGATTGACGTGGTGGGTGCTTAAACAACAATTTGATTGGTTAGTTATGGACATAGCTAACACCATCCTATCTCCGTTGGCCCATATAAGTTGATCGTCTTTGAGCTTATTTCAATTTGTGTATCGACAGAGAGAGTACCATTTGGTGTGTTTCGGTTACACTTCCTAATACTCCTTTAAGTAATATTCACCATTGCAATGGGTTCGGATAGCAATCTATTTGCTTCTGAGCAGCATTCTTGGCACAATCACATGCAGCTATTTTTACTAAACCATTCGAAAGCCGCAGGCGTTAAATTAATGAAAACTACGTGGTATCATCCTTTACAATCATCGCACCGTATGCCACTTTCCACGGGGTATCAGGAGCGTTGGTGTTGGTAATTGCTTTTCTGCACTGTTCAGTCATCAGAGGTTTCCAAAAAGAAACTAGACACAAACTGTATCCAGAAACAAAATAAACTGATGACCAGAAAAAGTGAGAACTTGTAAACTGTTAAAATTGAATGTGCAAACAAATACAAAAAGAGCCAATGTAGTCTAAAATACCGATGTTAGTTTACTTTCGAAATAAACGATACTCTTGGCGATTACTTTAACTGAAATAAATTCGGTTAAAGTTAAACCGGTAGACTTGATGCGTAATAGACGATAAAAACAATAAAATTAACTCAGCAAGAGAAAATGCAATTGTCGTTTTTAAAAAACGTGAGGTAGTATACATAATAGTTATGAAAAAATCCAATTCAGCAGAATCTGGAAACACTGGTGCCAGTATCTTCTCAAAACAACTGCGAAATAACATAAGGGTGATGAGCAGAAAGATGTGTTTGTACTTTAGGCAAAGGTATGATGCCGTATAAGATCTAAGTTGACTGGTTAGCAGAGATGCGTTCCATGGGGAATCGAAACAAAATCGGATGCGGAGGCTTGTTTTTGAACGTTCAGCATTGGCATGTCCAGTAAAACTAATATGGTCAGCATCAACATCGAAGACTTATAAGGCTATCTGTTTCAGGTATAATTTACCAATAAAGTAAAGCGTAAATCACAAGTTAATTTTCTGGTAAAGGATATTAGGTAATGAAGAATAAGTTGGTAGTTATTCAAAGCTCTCCTAAGTTTTGTACTAAGACGATGACCATTAACGTAGTTGCTAGCAAATAAGAGATTATGCCGACCTGCATGAATGATATAACAGCCAGAGAGGCTAAAAGTCACGACTTTGAAAACCATTTGAAAGATGCTGGTGAAGAAGGCAAATCTGTAGTATCAGCTTATATGTTAAGCCCATATACTTTATTCTAGTTGCTGGCCAAGCCAATTCGCCTGTCCATTATGAGTTATATTTTTATCTTGTTAATCATTTGCTTATTAACATTGACTATACTTTTATATGAGCATATATGTGTACACTTCGTATCTTATTCATCATATGTCTGTCACTCATTTTTGTCTGACTATAAATGTTGATTAACGCTTGCTTAAATGGAGTTGGCTTCCCAGCCATCTCCAATACGCATCATCTTTCGCCTCGCTCTCTCGCTTGCCGCTCATTCGCTCGTTCATATTCGCTCAGGTGTTGTTAACTTTCGAACCTGAGTTATTTGACAATAAACTGTAGTCGCTGCTATCCTTTGTCTTCTGATTTTACGCGCCGTTAAGATTAGAATTATATCGGTTATCGAAACGAACGATTAACGAATCGCGGCACTACAAATCTAATCGTCTCCAATCTAATAATGCTCTGGCTAATAAATGACCCAGAAAATTAAATTTTTCACAAACCTAATAGAAATTCATAAGAAAACATAGTAAATACCTAAAATAATACAACAAAGTATGAAATAAGATGTTCCAAAGAAGTAAGAACTATTCAGCTTAATTCAAACGAATGAGAGAATGAGTGAACACAGAACAGTACGAAAACAACATAGTTTGATTTTGGACGTTATTACTTTAGGCGCTTCAAACTAGCCATGTAAGATATTATTGTCGTGATTACTTAGATATCATTCCGGTGACAATTATCAGTACAGTTTTTTATCCATACCCAGCAGTATTATCAACCACTATCGGGCTTGATATGACGTCTTTAAATAAGTTCACTCAACATTTAATGAATGAAAGTTCTTACATTCGAACAATGATAGATCTCAAGATTTTTTTAGATATTAGTCCACAGTTGTCTATACAGTATTTCACATCAATGTTATTGCTAGACCAGTAAAAATGTATTAAAATAGATTAAAAACAACGAAAGTGAACATGATGAATTAAAAAGTAACAGGTTTACCAAGTACAGATTTGTGTACTCGACTTTGAGCTACAATTTATATATGAGGGCTACTAATACTACATGGCTAACTAAACCGAAGTGCTGTGGGACTCGAACTTGCGACCTAGTTGTTCAAAATCGAATTCTTAAACCACTAAATCACCGCTCCATTAAAATAAACATCCCTCCGAAGTACTATTAGTTGTAACAGACTTAAACTGAAACTCCACGAAGGGTTCTTTATTGTGTTTTTTTACTAAAGAGGGAAGAAGTAAGAAAAGCAGAGAACCGTTATAAAAACCTATAAACAAAATAGTTTATTTCAAAACGATGTGAAAAGCATAAACGAAACTCGTTTTGTGTAGAATCAATGTGTACGAAGACTAGATGAGGTTGAATATTTTTATAATTACCACTTCTATTATCAATAAGTCGTTCTATACTAAAATAGACAAAATACCTCCCGTATAACTGAAGATTTCGTCTGTCTTGAAAATGGGCGGGGATATAACCCAGGCGCTGGGGCAATTAAATATCTATCCAAAGTAGATTCACATCCCTGCCAAATATTTAAATTAGATTTCATTAATAAACGACTTATCAATGTGTAAAATTCTAGTGTTGGACCAGGACCGAATCCAACTTCACCTTCAAAAGCAATTTCTCATACTGTACGTGAATCACCCATTTCATTTAATGTCATTTCAGCTTGTTTCAGTAGACGTTTTTCATCTCAATTAACAGTAACTTTATGCCGACAAAAGTTTGGTGACAAGGCCAGGCGTAAATGGTATCTCCCACATGTTCCTAAATTATTTCTTCCATTATCTAGTCCTTTATGTTCCTGAGATGATGTAGATGATAGTCCAGAACTGTGATCAAACAAGTGTGTGTTGAATGAAGACTGGGAGAATGCGTTTAATTGAATTAGCAGAGATGTAGAGTCTGATGATGAACTAGAACTGACAAAGTTAGTCGTACTACATCCTCCGCCGTGTAAACTAATAATAAATGTAGGCTGATTATCATGAATAATATGAGATAAAAATGACGTAGGACTTCTTTTATCTATTTGTCCACGATTTTGATCACTATCAGAAGTGTAAGAACTTTCCAAATCCTAGATAAGCAAGTAAATTTCAATCTTTAATTAGTGTTACAATGGATTTTTTAATATAAGGTGATATATGAACCAGAAAAACAATTGGATGTAGTTACATTCAACTGACGAGTCAAAAATAAAACGAAAGACACTTCCTACATTCCATTGTTAGCCACTATTCAACGATCCTAAGTCCAATGTGAAGTTCAAGAATGTGCTGGATGGAATAGTATATGAATGAACACAGAAATTAATTACAGTAATTCTCTACCAATGAAGAATAATGTCTCAGCTACTATTTAAGTATTACCTTAAATATTGATACTAATAGCACTACAAATATTACTACTACTATTGTAGTGTGGTCTACTTATATCCTTATAAGTAGTATATGGCGATGGTCAGACATAGAATGTATTTTGGCATAAGACCGATAAGGAAAGAACTGAAATGGAACGCCATTGGTAAGAACATGAATGAGCAATGAAATTAAAGAAGATGAACTAATATTTACAGAATAAACAGTAAAGATTGAGACAATTGATTGTTATTTTGCAAATTAACTGTTTGCTGAATGGTTATCAGAGTTTAGTGAGATAGTCTGTAGTTTGTGCTTAAATACATTCGATTGCCCCACCTGTGTTCTCATTCACTACACTATTACTACTACTGATACTACTACGACGGCGACTACTACTACGACTACCATGTACAGTTAATTTTTTACACTTGGATACAAAATACATGAATTACGAATAAACATAAAGTATCACTTACAACCAGTTTATTTTAAAGCGAAAATAAACAAAAATGAGTGAATTAGAATAGCAGAACATCTAGGAAATAGGAAACCGAATGATTTTTATTAAAATCATTAATGGATTCAAGTTAGAGCATCATCCAAAGCCACGAAGCACTGGACGACCGTTTTGTCTTAGTATGGAACTCCTTAGCAGTGCTTTCAGCTTTCCATGGTGTTAATAATTTCAATGAAATTTAACTATCACCATAATCCCACATTGACAATTATTACGTGCTCATTTATTGACTAACTTCCAGACGAAATTTCTGGAGTTCTGGTAAGCAGCCGTAACCAACGGAGTTGAACCGTGTCAAGTGTGAGGCAGCTACCCACCGAAGAAAATAGAAGATAGTCTCTGAATGCCATGGATTGATTAAGGTTAGACATTAAGACTGTTAAATACCTACTGCTGAAACGGCCGTTGAGTGCTTCTAGGTTTTCGATGGTGGTCGAACTTAGATCAATTCATAATTTCGATGAAATGAAATGATCTCTATAATCAAATATTGAAAAATGAGTGATATTTTAACTGTAACGTATTAATTTAACAGACACTATGTCAATGATTTCCATGTTGAAATAGGAGAAAAAATGAAAATCAACAATTTGAACACATCAATGTGGCACCATCAGCAGTAGTATTGAATTCTTCGATGATACAAAGTAATTATTACCTCTGGTCAAATATACACATAAAATTTATTAAAATGTCATTTTGTTACTGTTGTCTTCTCAAACAACAAAAATAATTATTCTAGTACAACAAATGATACATATAAACAAAGAAAGCGTATTGACTTGCAGTTTTTATTAAAAAGCTACAAGGATATTGACACTTGGATATTAAATGAAACAATTTAGTCAGAATAAAAGAGAATGTTAGCTTAAACCTTAGTAATAAATTAAGCCTTAAACCTTATATACTTTTCAGAAAACTTTCAGTGGCAATAAGATTTATTTATCAGCAATTGTCAGGGTCAGATTGAAGAATGCATTGTTTTCTGTCATTATGGAAATAATTCCAAAACTACAGTCATTTTAATAATGCAGTATACGACTTATGACTTCAGCGAACAACACTCAAATAGGAATAGTATCAGGTATGGTAACTACAAATTTCAAGTTACTGTAAAATAGACATCAGTGATTATTCTACAGTCTCAATAACACTTACTAAATGCATAATAAATGTGAAATATATGCTCGAAATTCGTAAACAAGATGGAAATCGATAATGTCAAGCAGATTTTTTTCATGAGATCTAGCTATTGTCAACAGACTTGAGTTTGATGTTTTCTTCTAAATATCATTTTTAAAAATGTGTGATTACACAGATCCACAACAATTTGTTTTATTCCATTTCGAATTAGCCACTCGTTTTGTGTACCGACATTCTGTAATCTTAATAAAACATACAATGGTCAAATTCAAAGCATATCTCCCTAGCAGTTTGTCGAATTGAGAAATTGGAATTATCCATGGTAGGTAGGAGGTATTATTATTATTATTTACAGTAATATCTGTTATCAGTTGCTTTTAATTTTTAAACAAGTGGAACTTTATACAACAAAGAACAGAAAACTTAACGCAACACAGTACAGTGTTGCGTATATGAAGTTTTTCCAGATAATCAAACATAAATTTCTGAATAGATTAAATAATCCAACTAACTCTACTTGAAATCTGAGTAGAACTCGATTATGATCAAAATTGTGAGCGTAGAAGAAAGTCCGTTGAATATTAAAAGGAAAAAAAAATAGGCATACTGGTATCAATTGAATTAACCAAGAGGAAAAATTGCCAGCCATCACACTGAAAACATCTTGTAATTGACGTTTAGCTTTGACAACAAGTTTTTCACCCTGAAATGATTGCTGCACAATAATAATGTAAAATAAAAATAAGGAGTTAATTAACCAACTATTATAAGTCACTTACGTAGCCTAATATTCAACTATTGACATGAGAAACTCTTTGGGTATTTAGTTATTATTAATTTAAGTAGAGACAGTACTTTAAATGAAAAAATCCAAGACAGTCGAACAACCTCCCCTTACAAGTTGGTAGCTTTGTGGCGATTTCCACTAAAGCATTCACCATTTAATTGAAAGACGAAGCAAATCTCCATATTCTCAAAAACCTTAACAACAAAATCTCTAATTGACGCGATTATTTAGGTCAAACATATGGCAAAAAGGCGATACAGCTGATAAGTCTATTTCGTCCATAACTAGAACACTATTGATATGGAGCCGCGTAACAGATTTATATTCTAACCGACTGTAATTTACAAAACGTAAGGGATGTAGCGACAGTAGCATCACCCTAAAGTTGAGTTAGGGAACACAGCGTCTTATAAAACGTAATGCAGAGAATTTTATAAGCGTTCGATTGGCCTTTCATTTAATTCATTCATAATCGAAACAAGTAATCAAACAGTATACATTGCATTTTCTAGAAAAAAGCAAACAAACCGAAAACACTCAGGAGAGCATAGTTTTAAGACATTGAAGTCAGGTGATTATAAGAATTTTTGTTGTATTGCATCGTATATATATATATATATATATATATATATATATATATATATATATATATATATATATTGTCGATGAAGCATTCGATGTAGATGACAACGAAGGGGACACAGCATTTTAAATGAGCGAGCTTGAGGTACATGGGAGCTATACATTCCACCACTTTGACCTCGATGAATTGGTCTTTTGCGAACTGATGTTGTAATTGTTGTTGTGGCTGAACTATTAGCTAGAACTCCAAGAGTTGTGAAAAGAGATCCATTTTTTAATCTTCTGTATCAACTTGTAAGGCGAGTAGGAACTGAAGAAACAGGTATAGATCATGTACTGAAGTTTGTGGTAATGACAGTAACATCAGATTCCTTTTGGACAGTCGTTTACTTGGACTTACGCCCACTAGATTTTGCAGAAATGTCGACACACAAATTGTCATCTGATACCAGTGGGTTTGTGACAAAACGTAAAAAGCGCGAAAACGGAGTAATTACTTTTCCAGGAACAGACAGTGAAGTAGATGTTAAACTAAGTATATCGGAAATTGAGACGTTAGTAGTGGAACGCCTTCGGACACTACGACAATCAGTTTTCTTGACAACAAAGGCATTAGGATTTTCAACTGAGTGTAAGTTAGATACATTCGGTTTTTCAATTCCACTTCGGGTCATCAAAGGTAAAATTTCTGAACTACGTTGTAATAAGCTTTGAAGGGAACTAGAAGTGGGAACAGATGTTTTGGACGAAACTAATGTTTGTGTACAACAAACTGGGGATGTTAAATATACATTGAGATTTGTAACGAATGATTGATTAAGTGTAGAACGTCTATGGAAAAGGTTATCAGAAGAGACAAGAGGTAACAGCCGAAGGTATTTAGAATAAACGTCTGATTTTAGATGTCTTGGACTTCTACTGACGGATGGTTGTATATGAATAGAAGTCAAACCTGATGACTCGTTAGGAAGTAAACCAGATGGTTTGGGAATTCGACTGGACAGATTTCTCTATAGACGTTCGGGTGTAACAGCCTTTATATTACTTGTGATCATAGCAACCACCGTTGGTAAATATGTGTTTGAGTGTTGAATATTTGTATGATGTTTGAAGGGTCCTTCGACCGATTTCAAATCTCGTAATAATGAATGATTATGAGAATCCATATCTTCATCATCATTATTTATCACTTCAACGAGTTGTGACTTTGGTGAAGTACAAAGATCATCTGCAATATGATCAATAAATGTTTCTTGAAAACCTGTCAAATTATAATCAGCTTATTGTGAAAAACCATTCTCTTTAAGAACACTGTTCACGTAGTTACGTTGTAAGAGCAATCGTTCAACATTCTATAAAAAAATTAATGATATAAATTGAAATTAAGTTAACATAATTAAGTAAAAGTACAAATGAATGAATTCGAGTGTTTCCAATAGTCGACTTGACACTAAGTATTCTTTTTAATAGATAAATTTTTAAACTTTTCTATAAATATGTAATTATTTAAGTATATTTGGTCAGACAGTCGATTGCCTGAATTGACACAACAAAGAAGGCACACATAATCACAATAATATTAATATGAAATAGAAAAATATGCCCCGATAATTAATGATACTGTGGAATTGTAAAGACTTACCTGAATTGTGGCCAGAGGAGTAATACTCAGTGGTAGAAAATGTGGTGAAGAGGAACATGTCTCAGTTGTGAACGAGAAGGAAGTATTTTCTGAATGCCCAGACGATGTTGAAGATAAAAAAGATTCGCGACCGCTTTTAGAGTTTGTCCCGGTAATTGATGGACTGTTTGGATGACTCACTGGTGAATTACTTTCGTTTATTGTATCATCTGTTTCATACATACGATGAAGTTTAATACACAGTATCCATGGAGTCAAAAGGTTGTTTGAACAGATCGGGAGGATGAGCCGAAAGCATGATGAGTCAAAAATTTCGAATCTGTGTTTGCTGAATGCTAACCGGAATTTGATGGATCTAGCCTATCATTGCTATAATTAATGGGGAGATGATGAAATGCTTTGATATATGTTTTCATACTATACACTCTTTGAGCAGGAACTTTATTAGATGACCAACTAGAATTGTTAACTCTAACAATTTTTGGAGTATTCTTTTGTCGTGATGACGACAAATTTCGAGCACTACTAGAAGGTGAGGGTGATGACAAAATGTTGTCATGACGTACTCCGAAACCATCCACAATATCGGGATTACTAACATTTTTAAAGAAATCTCTTCCAAACATTGAGATCCACTTATCAGATGGAGGTAGCAGTGATGGAATAGTATTAACTTGAAAATGCTCATGCCTATGTAAGTAAGCCAAAAGGCATTCTATTAAGGCTCTGAAAGCTTCGAGACCACGAGATGAATTATCATCATGCTTCAATTCTGAATTCAAATGACATTCAATCACATTTAACTGACTTAATTTACTATCATCGGACAAAAGAAAATCTGGTATAATCGACAGAAAGTTAAAACAATTTTTATAACCATTCTATTTACGTCCATTTATATTCCCTAAAATTAATGTTGGACTGAATCGAATAGGTGTGGTAGCTCGCAGGCCAAGGAACATCTAATCATGAATTAATAAAAGATGGATGGTGAATAGTTATTTTATTCGGGCAAATGAACTTCATTTAGTAACTGATTAATACTGAGTGGAGTATAGAAAAGTTTCAAAGAGCGCTTTGTTTTAATTAGTTAGTATTATTCATAAGGTTGATGTATTACAATTAATGCTATTTAAATAGTCTGCATTCACTTGACAAATTATTTTTGTACTTCCAGTAAACAATATTTGTCCTATATTTGCTGTGAATTAATAAATGATTTTATGAAAATATTATATATGTTATCAAGCGTCTGAAACATCGAACAATATTATTAACGTAAATTTACTTAGTATTACTTGTTTGAATCTTCCCATTGATGTTTAGGACTGCAACTGGTCAGTCTCTAATTGGCATATGTGCATACTGTGCGTATTGCCTCGATATAGCCTTATCTCACAAGCATTGTAAGCAAAGATGGATAGTGGCTAGTAGTGGAATCCAGGACACGCGTTTCGTCCTAATTAAGTGAATTTAAGTTTCACCCCATTGCACAAGCAAATGGCTATCAGGACTCAGTAGCTGAGTAGATAACGCGATGGCGTTTGAAGCGAAAGGTACTGGTTCGAGTCCCAGAGTGAACATCAACCCTGAGATGCAGGTACATCCAGCTGACGAGTCCCAAGTAGGATGAAACTCGCGTCCTGGATTGCACTGTTAGCCACTATCCATCTTTGATTATTATTGATGGTTGCTGTAACTGGCGGGATATAAGGAGTTAATTTACTGTTGACTAGAAAGCTGCTAACACTTAATTACTAAGTGAAGCGATAGCTTTGTGATGGATGCATTTGACTTTCAACCACTTGGTCGTAGGTTTTAATCATGTATCACGCATTTCAGTTTGAGTAGCCATGCAGAGTTATCGTTGGACTTGGATTAAAAAGTGTCATAAATCCAAGTATGATAATTAAATGAGTTCAGAAGGGTTTTTTGGATATTTCAGTATATTCATAGTTGAAATCATGAGTCAATTGAAGCTAGAGTTTTAAATTATCACTGCTTTAAATTCTGTTCTGCAACCACTATTTATAATAAAACTCTTATTGAATCCATTTACTTATATGCATTAGACTATAATGTAGATGTATATTTGAATCAATTCCATAATTTATAAACTGAATGTAAAATATCAAGTTTATTCTCAGTTTAAAATGTACAATTCACAAAACCAATACAAACCAATTTCAGATATGCAAATATTCTGTGATATTAGATTTTCATTTCAAAGTACAAAATAAATTAAATATTAACAAACTTGGAAAATGTAATGAGAATATGAAGACTGTCGGAACCACCTAATATATCAGCATAATACATTCTGAAGACAAAATATGTTTGTGTGGTGAACAAGAACACCAGTGGGGACAACGAAATGTATTTTAATACCAAGATATTCAGAACTAGGTGATCACAAACGGACGTATTGTATTTAGGATTCAAAATCAGACTGATATCAAGTACAAAAAAATAATTGGCTGATACAAACACCACAATATGAATACTTCACTGAGAGATCAGTCGGAGGGTAAACAATGTCCTTGTATGGTACAAATCGAAATACTTTGTATTATCTGCACATTATCCGAAAAAAGTCACATCATCAGCATTTTATTTCCAAAGTATTAAAAAAGGTTGACAAGACGTTTGACTAAACAGTATTATCAAGTCATCTTTCTCAGCTTAATTGTTCTGAACTAGGCTTTATATGATCAAAGTGATTTCGAGGATATTACCAGTCATTTTGAGTTTAAAAACATGTAATGGTCATTCTGTCACTTATATAAGTGAAACTTAGCATGAACGTATGATATTACGTATGCGTCTATAGACCTACCTGCATCTTTAATATCTGTAAATCTTCAATCGTGTTTTAATCAAATGGAGTAGATATATTTACATTCTCGAACTCTCATATCTTACAGTCTGTTTGAGCTATATATATATAACACTTTTGATTCGCTCTATTCTAACATTCACTAGCGCGATTACGTCCATTAAAGTATAAGAAGTTAATTAGGGAACAATGTCTCCTCATTATTCATCGATATCAAACGGAATAAACAACAAACATTCGAAGGCATTTAAATCTCTTTGATAGGATTATTTTCAACTCTTAATTTTTTGATTATGAACACTTGGTACAGATTGGTTTATGGAGAAGTTAAAATGTTAATTTACTAACAGTGTTTATCACTAACAGTTGTTAATTTCTTTCATATAAAGTTCTTACATCTGTTCATATTCAATAGTTTCAAAGTAAACGACTGATTTTGCTTTGCTGAATCTCTATAAAAAAGAATTTAGATCAAATTTTACAACCTGCTTACTTCACTAACTAGTCAGTTAATGAGTAACATAATTCCAGGTGATTGAATAGTTATTTTTATGCTGGTGTCTTTTGTAATAAAAAGGATATACTGAATGCGCACTTTGAAGTTGGAAATAAATATTATTATCTTCGAGGTTCACGTGAATTTTCTGTTTATCGTGGATCGAGGTCAGAATTTTAGCTAACAAAAGTTACTAAATATCAATGACCATGATGGGCATAGTCTTCGTTGCTCATAATATGGATCAGTCCAAATATAAAATATCATATAGTTTATTATATTTCTAATTATTTATTATTTAAAACATGGGGATCCGCCAAAAGTCACTTGTGTCACTGATGTTGTTACGCAACGTATTTGGAGATGTCAATTTTGGTCGCATTATAATTCGCGATTTACGTAATAACGTAAAGCAAAGACGCAAATTAACTTTTTAATTTCAATTAGCACGAAATTTACAGTTAACTAATAATTAAATATGGCTGTTATCAGTTGTTCATACAAACGTGATGTATAGACAGATCACCATTGTTTTTTTGTCTTCACGAGTGTTTTGAATAAACGCTAACTTGGAGGAGTATAATTACTGAATTAGAATACTATTATTATTACTACCAATATTTGCCAACATTTAAACGAATAGTTCAATACAGATTGGATCCCAAGTGTAGAAAAGACACTAATTGTAAAAGTTAATTTTGAAATTATCTCAGCGATCAAAATTCAAATAGATTGTTAGATGAAACATTAAATTTACTTAAATCCTAAAGTTGAATCCATGAGTCATTTTAAGCTAGACCACCATGGAAAATCTGGAAGCAGTGGACGGCCGTTCCATCCTATTGTGGGACTCCTCAGCAGTGCACATCCACGATCCCGACTCGCGAGATTCAAACCCAGGACCTATCAGTTTCACGCTTAACCACTAGACCACTGAGCCGGCATCCAACGGTGTTAATGTCTAGTTATATATATATATACGTTGATAACATATTATACAAAATGTCTAGCAGAATAATTGTTACAGTTCAAAAATAACTGATTTTGTGTAATAACTGTGCAGTAAAAAAAAACAATTTAAAAGTGCATAAAATCTGATTCAATACATGTGTTTATTGAATTTTAAACAAAAATATTTTAGTGAAATCACATATGAGGAACTATAAGTTTCATAATGATATATCTATAATAAATTACGATTCACTTGACCTCAAATCAACTGATTTGACGTTAAGTGTTAGCAACAGCGAAGTAATTTATTCATCAAGTTTTATTATTTGACCTTTATTTCATGTAAAATCACTTTGGAAATAGTTGCACACACTTTCAATCAAAAATTATTACTTGGATTAAGGTTTTTTCTCAAATCCTATTTACATTTGTGTTTAATGCTTTACACATCTAGTATGCGAATTTACAACTAAACTGTAGATAGACCAGGTGAAATTACAATTTAGACATTATCATTTCAAAATATTTTCCATATTCAGTTTAACTTTAGGCCCATTGAGTGTGCAATTGTTGTACGCTATTTGGAATGACATTAAACTCACGGCGATTTTTTAATTTTTTTTAAATAGATTTTTTTATCCCCCTTTTGAAAAAAATTAGATGACAACTTTTTTCATTCCATTTTGTCCAATGAGATTGCTACTTTTAAATTCCTTATGATTAGTTATTTATTTCTTGAAGTTTGTATAAAGTCTTCACTTGTCGATAGAAGTAATTTACTTCACATTACGGACGATAGTTACAAGCAAAGTACAAGCTCTGTTGTTCTTCACGTCGTCACGAAAACGGACAACGTATTTTTGAATACATTGTATCTGGTAGAGTTCCCATCAATTGAAGCGTTGAAGAGCGCCATTAGAAGTTATGAAAGAGCAACTTACTGCCATTATGCAGTTAGAGATTCTCATTTCCATGGAGATCGGAAGCCGTATATTAAATTTGTATGTTGGAGAAATGGCCGTAGAACACTAGCGGTTCCGCACAGCCAAGTAGATGGAGGAGGTAAATTGATTGGTGTTAATATATTTTTCATGAAGGACTTCCATCCACACTCAATGTCCGACCATCATCTTTAGTAAGTTTATTGAAGGTTATTGGACTGTTGTTCGTCTATGAGTGCAATTTCCTGAGGTACGACTGTAACGGAGGCAGAATTGAAAACAGTGAAACCACTGTTGATATCTGGTACATCAGCATTCAATATTATGCACTTCGCTTACCAATCCTATGGAAAACGTCTGAATGCTCAGGATGTTTTCAATATGCGTCACAAAGTGTTCTAACAGGTCAACCTTCCTGGTAAGTAATGTACATATTTATACTGTTAACTTTAGGTGATTACGCTAAGTTGAAAAATCACATCACGTCACTTGGTGGGCTTTGTGATTATCGATTGGATGTAGAAAATTGTCTGTCGTATTTCTTCTTCGTAACTGCAGACCAAATTAATCTTCTACTCTATTGACCTTGCCTACAGCGACTGAGTTTCCGACTGACGTCTCCAGTTCTACAGATGTGACAATGCCCTTCATCCTACAGACGTCACGCACCAACCATCAAGATAATGTAGATTTCGATGCAACGTTAAGTAATGACGATGAAGAAATATTTTCTATCAA